TGAATCTATTTGAAGTTTAACTCGTCACTCCAACTTAGAATTTGTGTTGAATTTGTTGAATTCACTTCATGCTAATCATTGTTATTATAATTAAAATTCACTATCGTCCTTTTGGTTATTTCTCTGAAGTGTGAAGGGTTGTCTGCGTGCAAATGACGTTTGCCAGTGTAAAGGTCAAGTCAACCAGTCAGTTGACTGGCAAGCGAGTCATTTTGTTTCGTTTCGACGGGACGACTTGTCAGCGATCATTTCGACGAGAATATTCCATTGAAGTAATAATTCCACAGAAAGTTTTTTCAGAAACTTCTCAGAAGGCACTCTATTGTATCGTACTGTCAATCACGTTGTTCAATCATATTCACTTTTTGAATCATTCACTTGATTTGATTCATCAATGAGAACTTCTCTCGTCACAATTCCATGAATACTTTCTGTTTGCTTCTTTTGGCCGCAGTGTTTTCCTATTCTCCCCCAACAGCAGAATCTATCTATGTATCTTTATTCATTGTAACCATGAAATTGCATGTGTAATCATCATTTTTTACGCATGGAAGTTATAGTGCAGTATCAGTCTTGTATACGCACTTCAGAACCTTTGCATTTTCAATTCTTTTTCTACTAGTCTTCGTCCATTCAAGATATTGTCTTCTTAAGACGTCTACCTTTTTCGAATTCACTTCACTGGCTCTGGATGGATGTTAAGCATTACATTTGTTTCGACATGCTGTCCACTATGATATGAAGTCTAAAATCTTAATTTTTATTGTTTATTCGTATTGAAAATGATTCCAATGCCAATATTTTGATATCAGTTTCGAACACTTCAGTGCAGCAGTATACGTTTATAAAACGCTCATTGCAATGGAAAACGCAAACATGCAATTAATTAAGTTTCTGCCTGAGTATCACTGAGTGTTTCCAAGTGTTATTTGTTATAAAATGCGCGAATGTTTTTTTCAGACCGGATCCCTCAAATGATTTACTATTCCAGCGTATTTTAATTGGAAGATTGCGTCAATTATGTTGCACTAATTGTTTACACATAAAATGAATCAGCATTGCACTTTCATTAGCTTTTGAACAGAACGAAACAAGTTCAGATCTCTCTCTCTCTCCCATACAAACACACGTAACTCTACGATTCTCGATGACTTGAAGGAAGTTTGGAACAAGATTAAAGTGCAATTTCAGCTTATCTTCAGATCAATTGTTTGATATCGCTTTCAAACTTGTGCACTTAGTCCTGATCCTTTATGATCAATTATGCTTGCTGAATGTATCATCTGCTGACTGACCTTAGTTAACATTTCCAGCAATCAGAGCATTGTAGAAAGCCGAATAACCTATCGGTGAAACTAAACACAGTGATTCCAAACCATGCAATAATTAGAACCTTTAAATGATACCATTCAAAATACCATTCAAACGTATTGAATAAAAGAATGCATTAATTATGTTGAATATTTTTTTGAAATAGACAAATCTAATTGTAAGTGAGCATGACTTTACCATGTAGGTATTGTTTGCTATAAAAATAAAGATTATTTGTGGCAATTTGCATCCCAGATATCTATTTCATCATTTAAAATCACCATCTATTACTGCTTACTGTCGATAATAATGAGTCGTCGTTAAGTTTTTTACGGAGACGAAGTAACAAAGGCCATATGGTGTGTTCCATTCACAATCGTTGCACAATTCTTTGCACGCACTCTCAATTTTGCAGATGCTTTTTGCTTATTGTTAGACACTGCAAATTTGTTATTTGATCTCTTTTAGCAGCGTTTTGATTCTCATATTGCGCACCCTTTAAACGACATACTAATTGATGATTGATTGCTGGGAAAACAAGCTCATTTTCAGGTATGAAGCTGCTTCTCCTGATCGGCTTCTTGATATGTCGTGCCTCGGCCGATATCTTCTCGTCGATGGCCACAATGAAGGCACTTGTTGGAGCCGAAAAAGATATACCAGTAATGATCAACGCTTACATTGAGAGGGAAATGGAACGACTCGAATATCTTCGCAGGTATCATACAAACTGTTCTCTTAACGTTTCAACAATTTCTTTTGATTGTGTGATTGTTTTAATCAATGCACATTTGACAATCGTTAACGCATTAAGATAGACTTCATGCAATCTTCTGATGAATCAACTCATACTGATTCTTCTAAATATAGGATGAATTGCTTTGAGATTGCATGTTTCGAATTGTTTACAAGAGAAATTTACGAGAATGTAAAAAATCGTCTGATTTAAACAGTTATTTGATACGCATCGAGAAAGTGCTGCTCCATGCATCGTTTATAGCACATCCTTCACTATTTTATGATGAGAACGAATCAATTCTCGTGGTAAATTTCATATTTGTTACCCTTTTCCATGTCAAGGTCAACGCCACAAACACAAAATTCATCGTCCTTAAAATATTCGAGAAAAGAAGCATGTAATGCTAAAAATAACCATAACAATACGTGCAAAAGTACTTTGGTTGATACTTCGTAGCTATTTTGCTCGGCACAACTGAAATCGTATCCGCTAAGCACATTAAAGAATAACAAATTATTGGATTTGGATGCACTGATGAGATTGCATACATCTGTCTCATAAATCACATTTAAATGATTGAAGGATGAGCACACCTAGTGAAAGTGTTCTTTGCTCGTTTGATCATTTTCAACTTCAATCAGCAATCGATCATTTACAATTGGAGATATCATCGATCATTTGAGATATTATCGCAGTTGATAGCCCCAAACCATTTTTTTGCGGATGAGGAGATACTTTCGTATTCGTAGAAATGACAACAGAAAATCTTTTGCCATTTACAATATGTTCGCTGAGGCGGATATTTAAAGTCTCAAAAATATCAAGAAATTGGGATTAAAATCTGGGTTCAGCGTTATTCTCGCTGATTTTTTATGCAGATTTGCGGATGATGTTCAGCAACGTAACGACAACGCAATCGCCGATGGTGAAGAGTCGATAACGCATCCAATTAACGCGTTCTTGTTGATTAAAGAGATGACCACTGACTGGAGAAAAGTCGTCAATGTGATGTTGTCGAATTCAGCCGAAGAGTTCATTCGTAACGCTACACATCAGAGAATCATGAAACATATCAGATATCCCACTGATGTTAGTCTTTTCGACAACTTGTGAACTCATATGAGGGGTGTATTAGGAAATGTGGATGTGAATTTTAGCTTCTTATGAGCCTCTAGTCCCAAGCACAAGTCCAAGGATAAATCTGAATTCAATTCGAGGTGGGAACTCGAGCTAAAATTCATCTGATCACATTTCTAAGCCCAAGCGCGTTTTGCACTTGGCCGTCATTCTGAACTGTTCTCTCTTTGCTCAATATATCTCAAATAGTGTTGATCATGCAAATTTTGAAGTTCTGAAATAAATTCTGATCGTAAGAGAAATTTCAATTCTTGGATTGCACCGTTATGCGAGAATTTATTGGACAGAGATTTGCAGACTGTGAGAATGTATTTCGCTTCTTGCTGAAAATAGATTTCACACAGAGTTGTTTCCATGTAAAGCGACGACGTTGCGGTTGTTTGGGAATGACCAATCTCGTGATCAAATTTTATCAATCGAAAAATAATAATATAAGAGAAAGGATAGAAAAATAAAGTGCAAAGCATTGAATCGGAGCATAGAAGAAATTCAGGCGTTTGATGATAATCTAGCATGCAATTCGTTCGTTGTCTTTAAGGAGGATCTTGCTGGAGCAGCCATAGGTTTGTTGCGTCTTCAAGACACCTATCGAATGGACACAACAGATATTGCTAACG